ATTTAAGCGAGAAAAAGAAAAAAGAAAGATGTCTACACATCGACAGAAAAGAACAAACTTCTCTATGCGTGGAATGTAGTCCACGTCCACGTTCCACGCGTTCAGTTATTTTTGATGGCTTCCCTAAATAAGACGTCTTCTGTCTAGGACTATGGCAGTTATTCTACCAGAAAGGAAAGTGTACGCAAGGCTACTTGTAACTTCGACTAACATGCGCTTGACGAACTATAATCTAGCAAAAATAATCTTGTATTATTATGATTTTCGATTGGATTACGTACTCAAACCGTTCGACATTTTCATCTCAAGTTGCTAAATAGTGAAGCATTCGGTTTTTTCCTAGAAATGGCTTGAAAATATATATGACAGTACAAATATTAACTTTTGGGATTTATACAATACTGCTGTTAAGAAGTATTTGATACATGAAAAACAAAGTGCTGAGGTATATACGACCGACAACAAGTTTTATCTATGTCTGTTTTGACAGAGAAAGACACATAAGTATAAAAAAGTAACTGGTATCTGTATTTACTGTAGCAAGAAGACGATCCAAAACCATATGTAGCTCAACTAAAAACAACAGCTAATAAATTTTTAACAATACTTGATGAAAAAATACATAACAGAATGGTGCAAGATAATCATCGTCGTTTAAGTCATAAAGCAATGCTTTGTGCATTAATGATATCATTATATCATGAACAAGCTTCTTGTTTGCAACAACCATATCAAATATTATCGTTATTAGTCGATTTAGACTCATTAATTGCTAACTGGCGCTGTATGTATGATGATTTCGAATTTTTAAAAATAAGTTAGATTAGACTCTACAAAATTGCTTGTCCTCCTCTCCTCCCTCTTCTGCGTTTGTAGTTAATCCGACTCACGTATTGGATCACCTGTTAGAAGTTGGTATAACTCATAGTTGTTTTCCTTGAGCGCTTAAGCGTACGTATGAGAAACTAAACGTTAATTTTTTAACAAGCCGCAGGAACTATGTTGTACATCATAACGTGGTGGACATGATGACGGTTGAATGATACGAGACATATGAGTACAAATAATTTGGTGGGGCCGAGGGCCATCTGCCATAGAGAAAACAAAATTTGCAAAACTCCTTCATTTGTTTCAGATGCTCATCTTTTATTGGTTCAACGACAAATTGGTAGTAAAATGGGCACAGCTGGTACGGGTGGTATTGCATATTTGGGCAAAACATGCGAGTGAGTTTCTTTTTTTTTATTCGACAACTGTTTTCATTCGCATAAGCTTTCTTTTTATGATGAGAACTCGAATAGTGATAGCGATTTATTTCAGCTGGGTGAAAGACTCATGTTTTCAGCATAATTTCACAGGATTCTAAAAGTATTTCGAGAAAGTTCTTTCTGTGTGCTGGTCTCTTGGCAGATTGACTAATTCCTAAAATTTGTTTTTAAATTGGCCAAATAAAAACAGATGAGATCTTTTGTGATTCTATGGAAATGTAACAGCGGTCCATAATTAATCTTAGGATCTGCAGTTCAAACTGCAGGACTTTCTTGTGACTGATATATTCAACCTCAAAGAACTTAATGAGCTGCTACATATACACCGCACACATTTTTGATTTATATATAATTGTAATGACTTCATTATACTCTCATTTTTAGTTATCGTTATCAAGTATTTATTGATTTATTCAATGTGGCATCATTTTTAATTCCAATGGAATATTTACCTAAATTAAGTGAGAAAATGAAGAGACCGCCATTACTACGATTAAAGTCATATCCGTCATCAGGACAAGAAAACTATTTTCAAAGACAAATGTCAAGATAACACATAAGTAACTCTCGAATATTTATTGACAACTTTACTGTACTTTTGTTATCTTTGCTGCTTTTTCTTGTACATATTAATAACACAATAAAAATGTTCAACATTTGGTTGTTATTGTTTCTTCTTATTTTCTCTGCTGTACAAATTCCTTGAAGTCAGTATTATTCGGTCACAGGAGAGCACCAGAGAGATTATCCTTGGTTTGAGAATGGAAGGATTAAGAAGGCAATCAAACGCTGCCAAAAAAAACATTGGCCATGTCGAATACTATTACTCTACGATTTCAAGAGTTTCTCGACCAGTTCTCATGCTTTTGATTCGTGGTGCTTGATACTATATCTAGAGAATTATGTGCAATTCGACTTAATTGTAACCATCCTAGGATCACAAAAAGGCTCTTAATCTCAAAAACCGGTTGATTATGCTCGCCATCGCCGTTGTTCTACCAAAGAAAACAACCGATCAAGCGCTAAATCATCTGGAGTTATGGAACTCTATTTGTACTAGAAAATGGGCTTCTTCCGTCTTTTTCCCAAAACTTAAAAATTCTCGCTCAGTTCAAAATCAAATGGTTAAAATATTCGTTTATTGACCACTAGCGTAGGTAACATCAACGTCTTGCTCACATAAGAACTGAGGAGAAGTAGCAACTGAATAGAGCCAAGAGAAAATGAGAGGAAAACGATGATGTTGTCAACGAACTTGTAATCGCTTTTTCTGGTGGACATCAAGCTTTGTGCGTTTAAAACTCTTTCGCTATGTATTCAATCAAACTATCACGCCATAATCATAATAGAACGTGTTAAACAATCTGGCAAAGTCAATAATTCTAGTCAAACTTTCGTGGAAAAGTTTTGCGTGGTCGTAGCTCGAGGTGTGATATAGTCAAAATACTGACTTCTTAAGCTAACCGAGAGGACTCGTACTTCGATAGAAAAGCTCGATGTAAATACATGATTTATGATCCAAATTCAAGCAAAAACAAAGTTGAAATAATTTTATACTTATGGTCTGATCTTTACACGAGCGGTCTAGTAAAAAGCGAGGAGAAATCAGTCTTCTATTGTAGTGGTAGAAAGGCCTTTTCCTATCTACCTTGGTGGAAAATATTATGACGTGTGTCAGCCGAAATAATGAAGCTCAAGTCTTTTCCAATATAAAGTCTTCTTTTCGAGTTCAAATCGTATTCAGATAAAGTTAACACATTGCTTTTACTTACCTGTTGTCCCTCTATTTAAAAGATCGTCTACAATTATAAAAAGAGAAGTGCCTTGATATTTGTGTTTTGTTGTTAAATGACAGCATTATTCACACGTACAGATAGATGCACTCAAAATGAATGTAAATACTCGAGCTGGTGTTAATGTCATAGTTTTCTTATTCATTTTACGTAAATAGCAACTGCACTCGACGAATAAGTAGTACAGTTTGTTATTATAAAAAAATGAGATGTGTAAAAAATCTGTAAACTGTATAGAAAGATGTGCACAATTCAAATATTTGAATACTCAAGGAGGAAAAAATCAGCTAGTAGCGCGCGCTGCAGCTAGCTATACTAGCTTTATAACCCACTGCAACTAGCGATAAAAAAATGTAAAAATACTGAAGCGGGTTAGCGGGCGCTGCAGCTAGTTACACTAGTTTCTGTACCCGTTGCAGCTAGCTGCATAGACATACACATCATGGAGTGGGCGCTATAACGGTCGATTAGATACCTGCTGCACCTAGTTACAAATTGTCAGTGAAAGCTTAAATCGGTAAATGACCCGTTGCAGCTAGCTACTTTTATTAGTAGCTTCAAAGAGAACCATAAGCTAGTTACGACGACCGCTGTAGCGCCCGGTTGCATCGAGCCGTAACAAATAACAGATCAAGAGCGTAGAAAATTTAAAATGAAACTCGACAGAGCTAGCGGCAACACCTGTTTTAACGCATCTACGCTGACTAGCTATATCAGTCTGCTTAGCAGCCATTTCAGTTAGCTCTTATAATATACACGTTACGA